TTCAGCAGCATATTCTGCACATAAAAATAAGTAAAAAATTTCGCATAAATGTATGTCCTAAAATGCTTAGTTTCGGACATACAGGGTGTAAAAGTTCCGTTTTTATTTCGATATAATTTCTGAAGTAACGTCAATATTACGATGAAAATTGGTGTCTGGGAGTTTTTTGACATGAGAAATTTGATTTTGATGTCAATATGACTCCTATTTTTAGGGGGCGCCCCTACATGTCTTTTAACTGTTTTGAAGAGTAATAACTTTTCGTCTGTACCTGTATAGAACTACTGAGTGACAAAATATACATTTCTGTGACTTTTTGCGTAAAAAAGGTCCCTTGGTAAAAATCGCTGTAAGAAATAATTGTTCTCGAGATATTTGAAATGGAAATCATCAATACCTGTCATCATGGAAATAAATTAAACATGTTGGCTAAATAGTTATTAGACTGAAATCATAAATTTGAAATGTTTTTGTACCAGAAATTCAATAGAAACTGTTTCATCATCATTTTGTCGCAGAAAAATTTATGATTAATTTAAAAAAATAAAAATTACCCAAATTTATTATTTCTACTCAACGTGTTAATTTTTTGTCAATAATGACATGTATTGACTATTTCCATTCTCAATATCTTGAGAACGGTTACTCGTGGCCATTTTTACCAAGAGACATTTTTTACGTAAAAAGTCATGGAGATTACATTTTTTATTCAGTAGTATTATACAGGTACGGACGAAAAGTTGTTACTCTTCAAAACAGTTAAAACACATGTAGGTGGCGCCCCCTACAAATTAAGTGTCATATTGACATCAAAATCAAATTTCTCATGTCAAAAAACTCCCAGACACCAATTTTCATCGAAATATTGACGTTACTTCAGAAATTATTTAAAAAAATCGAAATAAAAATGAAACTTCTACACCCTGTATCTCCGAAACTAAGTATTTTAGGACATATATTTATAGGAAATTTTTGACTTCTTTTTTTCAGCGGAATATGCTGCCGAAGTTTCCGGAATACAGTTTGGACCACCCTGTATATGGACTCTAGTATAATGGTAGATATTTTATCTTATGAGAGAACAATACTTAATTAGGTACGCCCTAATCCATTAGTCTAAAAATGGCATTGAAAAAAATAATTTTTTATACTCTTTAATATTAATTTTTAATATACTGAAATGTATTAAATTAAAAAAAATGTGTGTGCACTATGTGGAACAGCTATTAAATTGGGGGATTTGAAGGACACGTTGGAAAAAGTGACATATAATGCTGTTTTAATATAAATGTTATTTCCGATTTATTTACCGTTATTCCAGTTGTTTATCCAGTGGCATTGTAAGTACTTAAAAAAATAATAATAAAAATAAAAATGTCTTATTTTAATGACACACCCTGTATCAATATTTATAAAAATTAGAACTTAACTATCTTAGGTAAGGAGGATTCAATATAATTTATCAGATTTGAAATAAATACTGTCCTAAGGGTAGTTTACTCTTGGCTCGAAAAATATCAAACCCCATTAAAACGTACGTCTATGAGGTATCGCATTTCTTATCCTGGGCAAAATGTACGTCTTATAGCCATACAGCCTCCTGCCCAGAATGAAAAAGATCGCTCAACAAACAACCAAAATATTGGCTTTTATCCATCTTAAGTGGGACACCCTGTATATTTCTTATGGGAATTTACTCTACATTTTTTAAGCAGACATATTCAAAACCTTAAATCAATTTAATCAATCATCAAACTTTTTTATTATACGGTATATTTTGAACTCAGATAGTGTATAATAAAATCAATATTTAAAATAAAAAACAATAATTAAAAAAATAAAATCAATAATTAAAAATAAAACAATTTGATGCAAAATTACCGAAACAGAAATATAACGTTTACAATATAAAATGTTGGAAATTGATTTCAAGTATCTGATTTCTATTACTCTATTTTAAGTGTATTAATTGCGAGAGAAAATACAATGAAAAATAATGTCACAAAATCCAAAAAAATTATTTCGTGTTATGTCATTTTTCGAGTTGATTATTTGATATCGATATTAATTGCTAGAAATATCTAAAATTAGACGAAAACAAAATTAAAAATATATAATATTACTAGTAAAAAAAAATGTCAAAAAAAATGTGAAGAACACCGCACGATAGCCTTATGAGTCACACACTTAAGATCTTTCTCAAAGTCATCCACCGCAGGATTTACAGAAAATTAGAAGAAGATATAGCAGATACTCAGTTTGGCTTTAGAAATGGTTTTGGTACTAGGGAGGCTTTGTTTGCCTACAATGTCTTAATGCAGCGATGCCTTGATGTCAATCAAAACGTATATGCCTGCTTTATTGACTATAATAAAGCATTCGATAAAGTAAGACACAAGCAACTAATAGAAGCGTTAGAACGAAAAAATCTCGATACAAGAGATATACAAATAATAGTAAAACTGTACTTTAATCAAAGTGCGTCTGTTCGCGTCCAATCTGAACTGACGAGAGCAGTGGATATCAAACGAGCAGTTAGACAGGGATGTGTTCTTTCACCACTCCTTTTCAACGTCTACTCAGAGGAAATCTTTATCAAAGCCCTCGAAAATGATGCTGGTGGAATACTAGTTAACGGCATACCACTGAACAATTTGTGCTACGCGGACGATACAGTCCTTCTCGCTGAAAACATGCAAGACCTTCAGAATATGTTAAATAACGTCATCACAACTAGTCGAGAATATGCTCTGACACTCAATGTTAAGAAGACCAAATTCATGATTGTCACTAAAACTGGAGTGCCCAATGAACATCTGTACGCGGAAGGCGAGGAGCTCGAAAGAGTAGAGAGGTATGACTACCTGGGTACAAGTGTCGACTGCACCGCGGATTATTGTTCAGAAATAAAGATTCGCATTGAGAAGGTCCGTGCATCCTTTGTGAAGATTAAGATGCTGCTCTGTAGCCGCGATTTGAGCCTAGATCTGAGAACTCGTATGCTCAAATGTTATGTATTCCCAGTCCTTTTGTATGGTATGGAAGCTGGACCCTCAACGAGCTTTGCGAGCGGAAACTGGAAGCCTTCGAGATGTGGACATACCGTAGGATGTCGAGAATACCATGAACAGAACGTGTAACCAACGTGGAGGTTCTGAGAAGAATGAGGAAGGGCGTAAAGATCCTCAAGGGAGTGAAAAAAAGAAAATTGCAATATCTCGGCCATATCATGAGAGGTGCGAGGTATGAGATTTTGCAACTCATAATCCAGGGAAAAATTGCAGGGAAAAGATCTGATGGAAGGAGAAGAATATCCTAGCTCAGAAACCTGCGAAAATGATTTAATGTCACGTCATCTGACCTATTTAGGGCCGCAGCTTCCAAGGTCAAAATAGCAATGATGATAGCCGACCTCCGATATGGAGACGGTACATAAAGAAGAAGAATATTACTAGCTGACCCGGCAAACGTTGTTTTACAATATAAATATTTTTTTATGGGACAACAGTCATTTTTATCCAAGAGGTTAAAAATGATTGAATTACTAATAGCGCTATTAAAAAATAGGGGTTGATGGTAGAAAGGTGAAAATCTAGGGTTGTATGTATTTTTTAATGCCACATCATAAAAAAATAAAAATAAAAAAAATTGTCAAAAAGAAAAATTTGGGGTGGACCACCCTTATCAACTTCTGGGGGTATAAAAAATAAATTCTATTCTCAAAAACCTATTCTCAGACCTAATGAATATTTAAATATACATATAAAGTTTCATCAAAATCGGTAAAGCCATTTCGGAGGAGTATGGTAACTAAAACTGTGACACGAGAATTTTATATACTCTTTTATATACAGGGTGTCCCAGGCTGAGCGTGCATTAGAAGTTTCTAGGGAACTACAATATCTAGATTAGAGATTTTTTGCTACATCGTTGTTTCATAACGTGATCTATCGATTAAAAATATTTTCAATATGGCGGCACTTTCGGTAATGCCGAAAGTTGACAACAACTTTCTTATTTTAAATGGGTACCCTCATTTTTTATTACATACTTAAATTTTCTGTAAAATTTTATGAATTTAGATATTAAACACTCTATACCTAACACTAATAATTTTTACAAATTAAATTAAACTTATTAAATAAAATTAATAATATTTTTTTTAACAATATTTTTTTTAATAAATAATATTTAAACGTTATTTGTAATTGTTTGAATTCCAAGTACTCATTTAAGGCTGAGTCGACCTAGGTACCCAAACTATTTTTATTTTAATAAAAATAGTCGGCTAAAGAAATGCCGGGTGTGGGAATCGAACCCACACCTTGAGATTGGTAGACGAGAGCCTGTACCTCTACGCCACCGGGCACCTTTAAATTTATAAATCATATAGTAAAAAAATGCTCTATCTCTATTATTATTTATTTTAGACAAAAATGATTGAAGGTAGAATATTCCAAATTTAATTCACTACAAAAAACATATCTTTAGTTTTTTTCGAAAAAAGTTATGTAAACGGAGATATTTGAAAAAAAACGGAAAGATTGCGGCGGTTTTTTTCAAACTTCCCCCATTGGGACCGAATGGGACTTTTGAGGGGTTAAATAGCAGATCTTTATCTACACATTCCCGTTGAGATCGTTTGGTTACTAATTATTTCCACCTTTGCATATAATACTCGGCTACGTTTACTGGCCTAGTACTCACCAATTTTGAAGTATAATTAGTGGAAAAAGTTAAAAGTATGTCCGTGATACTTCTGACCAAAACGTTGAGTAAGCAAAATAAATAAAAGAATGGATGTCCGAACATCTTTTAGTTTCAATACTGAATCATTTTCTACTACATTCGAATTTATATTGTCTTAAGTTGAAACTTAATATAATAAAAATCAGTTCAAATTAAACTTTTTAATCCGATCTTTTTTTACTTTTCACCAACAATCCTGAAAATTTCAGCATTATTGAGAGTTCGAAAATACGAAAAAAACTTCTACTTACCGAATATCGGCTGTCATCGTCGAATGGGAATCCATTCTGGAGCGACAATCGCGCCCCCTGGATTCGAAAAATATCACCGCGGGAGCGTTGTGATAAGCCAGCTCGCGCGACGCGCACACAAAGAAGTACGAGATTGCAGCCAGGGGTCCGGCGTAACTGAAATGAGAAATTCCTTATTAGAGAAGAATTACGAACTATTATTACTTTTTAATATAAAATAGTTAATGATGCTGCTGTTGTTAGTGAGCTACGGCCCTTAATCTAATAAAAAATTTATTAAATTTTTTATTTAGATTAATAGTTATCTCTCCTAAAAAATCCTTTATGGGTATTTCGCCACTGCACTGTAAGAAAATCTACAAAATAAAATAGTTATTTTTTGTAAACACTTCTGCGTTAAACCTAAACAGACACTGCTTGTCAGAAATTATGTTTACAGTGATACAAATTTGACTAACAAAGAAAAAAATGCTTAAGTAACAAAAATACAAAGAATAAAGAAAAAACTATTTAAAATATTTAAATTCAACTATTCGAGAGCACTTTACTTTTTTAAAACAGATACGTCTACAAGAAACCGTTGACGTTCTGTTAAAATGACATTTTTAACTTGATATTTAAACTTCAAAATTAACAATTACTACCTGATAACAGTTACTTAATAATGTAAAACCAAAAAGCCCCAAACTTTCTTTATGATTATTTTTAAATTTTACGTATGTTATTACGTTTATTTCGTTTATTTATCTTGTTGTATCTATTGCTCTTTAAAATCAAAGAAGCGATTGCCATACATTACTAACATCTACAGATGCATGAGCAATACATTTATTTTTATTAGATTGAATTAAAAAAGCCTCTTTTATTTTTCTTTTAGAGGCTATCGCTTCTTTCATTGTAATTTTGGCGTTATTAAAATTTATTCTGTGCCCTGTGTCCCATGAATGCTCACAAATCTTAGATTTGTGAAAATCTCCCTTTCTTAAATAACCTTTATGTTCTTTAATTCTAACATTCAAGGGTCTAGATGTTTCACCAATTTAAAATTTATCGCATTCACAGGGTATTTGGTATTTACATTTTTTGTTTGTTGTTCTGTATTCATTTGTTTAGTATGTGATAAAATGGATCTAAGTGTATTTTGTGTTTTGAAAGATGTTCGTATGTTATATTGTTTTCCTATCCTTCTTATTTTTTCCGAAACGCCTCGTATGTATGGAATTGTACGTTGTATATATTGTGTATTGTTATGTGCAGTGCAGTAGCGAAATACCCATAAAAGATTTTTTTGGAGAGATCAATTCGCCACATAAGTATAGATATTTTTTGTTAATAGTTATGTCAATTAAATTTTTCATTACTTCTACTTTTACTCTTAATTTATACTTATACACCGAGCGTTGTTCAAAAGTAGCTATACTTTTCCGTTTTAGAGGAGAGAGGAGACTAAGAAAAACATAAAAATATAGTTAAAATTTTCCTAAAAATCAAAACGCGTTTCTATAGTAATATAATTCAGTTTTCATTCTTAGATAGATTGTTATTGATAGAATTTTAATTAACGTCATATTTTTTGCTGTTTTAAAATGTTAAAGAAGCACAAAGAACGCTCTCATTCGTAACGAGGGAACGAACGTTCGCAAGCCAAATTGATTTCTAATTAAAACGAAACTGCCACATCTGATAAACTGCAAATTTTGTGCCAGCGGAAAATTGATAATCGATGCTTTCCGGCCAGTAAAGCACGTGTTGCAATTGATATTTTAAGCTTAACACCGGTTTAAATGTCACTTGCTGTAATAAAAACAGTTTACGTGTTTTATTTTTACCGACTGTTGTAATGCCAATATATTCTATAGTAAAAAAAATTTAATTCATATTTTAACGTATTAATAAATTAAAAGTTTATTAGATTATTATTTTAGATTCGACTGGAATGTACCAGAAAGTCCAGAATAAAATAGTTAATAGGAAAATAACGAAAAAAAATCATAAAATTTAGGTACGCCCAGTAAGCAAATATTAATGGCGACAAATTAAATAAATTATGCAAAAAGTAGGGTAATATGGCAAACTATCAAAAAATGCTAGAAAAAGAAATTTTCAGAATATGATTATACGTTTATGTTTCAGTTTTAATAAATATACAGAATATTCCACTTTCATTACTACCAATTTATAGAGATTTATTAGAATAGTGCCATTATATACAGTATGTCCCCGGATTGTTTTTACAAGAGCAAAAACCTTTTTATTATTAACATTTTGAGAAAAACGTATTCTTTGTAAAACTGTATGCTTGCTCTAAAATGGTCAAACTTTTTTAGACGTTTCGAAATTTTCATACCGTTTTAGAGATAAACAAAATTTTTTTTAACAAAACTGTTGATTTTTTTAAGCCCTAAAAATCAAAAGGCGTTTAGTAATATCATTTCGTTTTCATTTTTGATAGACAGTTGTAATTAATTTTGATTCATTCAGAACAGGAAAGGTGATACTATTTTTCGGAAAAAGTGATACTATACAACGTCATTAAATAAATGACTATGACGTTAATTAAAATGTGTAATAACCATCAATTAATGAATAAAATGGTAAGTTGTTTTATTAAGAGTAAAAATGAAGCTTTTTGTGGCAAGGCTGTACGTTGGAAGTATGAGCGTTAGCAAGTCTAACATGCAGCCGAGGCCCAAAATAATTTTTACTTCGAATAGAACATGCTATTTTTTTTTCAAACATTTTTAAATAATTTCAAACGTTCCAAATAATATAAAAATATTTTATCCAACAGCCACTACTTATACAGACATTACTCACATGTATACATGCATATAAAATAAATAATAACACACAAAACTTATAAAAAAGTTATAAGAAACTAGTGTGTTATAACTTCAAAGCCACACCATTTTATAGAAATATTTTAGCTTTATTCATAAATTACTAATTCAATTATTTATTTAAATTAACATTAACATTAAATGAAAATGATTATTTTCTTTGTAGATTTAGAAATTGTAAAATCTTGTATGCCTCAAGATGCTGTCCCTCCACTGCTTAAAATAGGCTCCGTCATTACAACGCCTCGTTCTAGAATACTTAAAGCACCATGAATCTTTTTCGCAATCTCTATTTTATTGTTGATGGACTCTTCGATATATCCTTCCGCAACCGTTGCCGATCGCCATCCTCCAGGTCTTTTTAACGTTTGTCATGTTCACTCCTGCATTTACCAGTAATGTAGCGAATGGTCTTCTCATACAATGGCCAGTGTATTGCTCAGGATGTTGTAGGCCCAAGTACTTGCGCAAGATCTTCCTGGATCATTTTTCTTTAAAATCTGACTTGCTGGTTGATAATTCACTATTTTATCGTTAAAAATCGCAATTTATCTAAATGACGTCTTCATATGTCAGTGCTATTTATTATTTACATAGTAACATAAAGGCACCCTGATAATTTATTAATTCGCAACAATCAAAGTAGAACTGGTAGATCCTTTTAAATCAGTTATTCTTTAGAGATTAGACATAAAACAGTTCTGCCGTTGGATAAAATTTTGTATGGCACACGCGTCTTATAATATATAAGTCATTTGAGAAAATTAGCTAAACATTTCCCAGCGCAGTGTGATTTATATGTAAGATAACACACTAGTACCATAAATAACTATTCGTACTTTTATGCTTAGGCGTTAAAATGACTTTTTATATTGTCAATCACGTCGCAAAAATTAATACTTTTGTAAAATTAGTTAAAAATTTGAAAAAAAAATTATATTACCATAGAAAAGCGTTTTGGTTTTTAAGACTCAAAATTCAACCATATTTTTTTTTATTTTTCTCCAAAATGATACGCAAACTTGGTAATGAATAAACAGTATCAATTATTAAAACAAGCATTTTTTTCTAAAAAATACATTTTTCTCAAAATAATAATAATAAAAAAGTTGTAGTCGACTTGAACTCTACCTAAGTGGATAAGCTATTAAAGCGGGTGTTTTTCAAAAATGGCCCATCCCTATAACAATTTTAGTTTTTCAGATGAAAAACGAAAATTTGGTATGTTAGTATACAACATACTCAATTAGTTCCGGTCATTTGCTGTTTCACCGAAAATATGTAAATTTTGATTTTTAAATGTTTTTTTTTCAATATTTTTTGCTTTATTTGATAGGAAATGATATTCTATCAATATAACAACTTTTGTCAACAAAGTGGGCCTTATCCATAGTAACCTTAGCAGCAAATAGAAAGAATTAGCAATGCCTCAAGAGCATTCTGGAAATTAAAAGACAGGGTTTTCTACAATCATGATTCGAGCACAAAAACGAAACTTGCAGTGTACCGAGCAATAATAATCCTTACCACGTCCTATGCCTAGATTATGTATACTTACGTGGATAAGTAAATCACTATGGAAACTGTCGCAAACATATTAACGACTTCCATTTATCATCTTTTTTTGTTGCACACGCGGTGCTTCTCTCTACCTATCCTTGTCGAGAACCTATCTTCCGCGCGCCAGTTTACTTTTTATCCGAGAATATTTTTTTTTTATCAAACTTGTACAGAGATGGGCCACAGCTTACAGAATAATATAGCTTGGACACTCGCTAATTTTTCCCACGCTCGAATTTAAAACGCCCCACTCCGACGATGCTTAACTGAATTAAGCGAGCGAGAGTCAGCCTCATTCAGTCGAGGCATAACGTCCACCGGTGACGAGTAGGGCCGTATTACGGAAGATTTTAATTCGATTTTTTCTTATATTTAACCATAGGTATTTGTGCTTTTATTTCAATTTTATTTTTATTGTTGGAATGGGAAAAGGTTTTCCGGGATGTGCGGCTGCTGGTTACGCAAATAATTATGGAAATAATTCAAAATATAGTCTGTTTAATTTTCAATTCAATTCAAAATTAATTGAATGTTCAATTCAAAAGTATTCACACTTTAGAGCTTTTCAAAACGATAAAGACCACTTATTTGGAGGCTTGTTAATGCCAAGTGACCATTTTTATATTTAGTGTCCTCATTGGAGGCTATTTTTATAAGCTTTGTATGTAACTATCTATGTATGTATGTATGTTTTTGCAGGGCAAATCTTGTAAGCTAAATTAGAACCACTTCCTTTTATTGTAGAAGCTTGAAATT